CGACATTAGGTTTTGTGAAAGAAGTAAGCCTGGATAAAGAGCAAGCTTCTGGCTTGCTAATACTTAAAGACGCATTTCTTTTAATAAAAGCTCTTAGCCAATCCTTACTCGCACACTTATTCCTTCTCCAGGAATCTGGCATATTAATATTGTTTCTGAGCGCCATTTCATATACCAGCTCTCTCACTTTTTGAGTATTTAACCCAAATGCCATTTTGCTAAATGTCTTTATATATTCATATAAAAATCTTTCCTGCTCGGTGCTAAATATTGATCTAACAGCATAATTCGGCTCCATTTTAGTATTAGGGTCATTTCGTTCCTTTAGCACATAACGCCTTAATGTGACAAAATTTACATCAAACATATCTGCAGCAATGCGTAAGGAAGTCCCATTTATTTTGACCTCTTGGACTGCTGCGGTCATTCAATCTCCTATAAATTTAGCTCTTGTTCGCTACTTCTTCTTCCTTACCATGGTTGCCTACAACTAAAAATTCCACGGTCAGAAAGACACACTGGCTGATGCAACACCATAAGACTCATCCACGACAGCGCTAGTGGCGTTGTAGCGGCAAATTCAAATTGGCAAATTGCAATGTTTCATTGTGTACCCCGTTTCAATGTGTACCACCCTCCCCTACATATGTAAACTTCTGAGAATTTCGTTTGCCTCCTACAAAATTGACCAATACAAAATCACAATTTTTTAGTTTCTTTAATGTGCTTTAGAGGCTTTACTTTTTCTGTCTCTTGGTCTCCTTCTTTATATTGTTCAATATTCCAGGTTGAATCATCTGATTTTGCATAATTAACATCTTCATCATTTTCACTGGACTCGTCTAATTCTAGTTTCTTCAGATTTTTATTTTCTTGTGATTTTTTTTCTTTCTCTTTTCTCTTCCCTTTGCATTTTTCTGTTGAGCTTTTTCCTTTCCTTTCGTTTCTTTTTTAGCATATTTTTTCTTTGTATCTTTCTTTTTTCATCAAGCCAAAACAAGGCTCTTTTAAATGACGATGGTATTATTATTGGCTTCTTAGAAGTTTACTAGGTGTGATATTGATGTTAATACTAAAAGGAGTTCGTATTTTCTTCTCTAGAACTTATTTTTTTGGCGTTGAATGAACTACAATTTTACTCAGTTTATTGGCAGATGCTTCGTTAGTTATGGGGTTAGAATTTAGAGGATGTTGCTTTTCTGAAGTAACTAATATGTTTGAAAAATATTAGAAGAATTATCAGACTCTGGTCATTAATATTTTACTATCATCTCTTTTTCTTTCATATTCTTCCTTGCCGCTATTACCTGTTGTAGAGTTGTAGATTTACACTTCAAATTGTATTTTTTGCTAAAATACAAATAATGCTTTATACTCTATATCCATATTTTTTTAAATTCATCCAATAATATGTTCATCCCAGTAACAATCATTTACCAGTTCAGGATAATCTATTGTAAATCTTTTTTTGTAATTGTAGATGTAATTGTTGATGTCCGAAAAGTTATTTCAATACTCCACCTATTATTCAAATAAATAAAGCCGAAGAAAATATTTATATAAATATAAATATAAAAATGTAAATTGTTTAAATAAAAAACATTTTATTAATTATTTTTTTTTACTTAATTTTCCTCCATTTACTTCTGATTACTATCATATTTTTTTTTAATCAAAATCACATTTTTTAAATAGTAGCAAAATATTCCATTTTGAATTTTTAAATTTCATTCATTGCAGCTCAAGTTAGAGGTTTTTAACGCCCCAGGCGCTCCACTAAATTGCATTTTTAATCTTAGTGGACAATATGTACGGTGGTAGAAAACACATTGTATGCAATTTATTTAAAAAATACTAGGGCTCGGAATTGTATTCGGTTATTTCGATAATTCGAATACTAAAAATTCGATATTTTTAGATCGAAATTATTCGAATAGTCGAAAATTCGAATAGTCGAAAATTCGAATAGTCGAAAATTCGAATAGTCGAATATTTAAATATTTAAATATTGAAATAGTCGAATAGTCGAATAGTCGAATAGTCGAATAGTCGAATAGTCGAATAGTCGAATATTCGAATAGTCGAATTGTCGAATAGTCGAATATTCGAATAGTCGAATATTCGAATAGTTGAATATTTGAATACTCGATATTCAAATATTTGACTAATTCAACAAGGTATTTGATACTCGAATATTCGACTATTTAAATACTTAAATATCGGAATACTGTGAATGTTCAAATACTCGGATATATAATTTGAATTTATTTATACACCTAATTTAAATGTTTCTTTTTTATCTATTGCTTAAAAATAAAGGTAGAAGAAAAACGACTAACAAAATTCTGATCTGGGATTTGGGACTATTACGTTACGGCAACATTGTATTTATTTCCTTCTAGCGCTGGCGTTTTATTTGGTAAATGAGGGGAACCCCAACGTTGTTTCACATTCGCACTTTTCACATGCTTGTTTATGTTTGTTAAGTTATGACTTACTAGTTATTTTATTCCTATTAGTGTGTGTATGTCTGTCAACGCTTGCACGCTACAGGTGTTAAATAAGAGTTCAGAACGCAGTAAGATTTGGCTTTAATTCGATAAAAAATAAAATCGTGTGCAGTGTAAATTATGTACTTACAATGTCATACACAGAAGTAATACCAGTAATTTGTGGATTCAATTAAGAACTAAGCATCATACCAAAACAAACAGGTATAAATTATACGTTAATCAATTAAATATTCAAATACTCGTATAATTGAATAATCGAATATTCGAATACTCGTATACTCGTATACTCGTATACTCGTATACTCGAATATTCGAATATTCAAATAAACTAATATTCGAATACTTGAATATTCGAATGTACGAATAGTCGAATACTCGAATATTCGAATAGTCAAATAGTCGAATATTCGAATACTGAGAAATATTCGAATAGTGAATAATTTGGGTATTCGAATAAAGTTTCAAACGAATATTCGAATACAAAAATCTGAAAAATTCCGAGCCCTAAAAAATACCGCTTTATACACTTATTTACTTAAATAACTATTTCGACTTATAGTACAGTCATTTAGTTGTTTTACCTGGAAAGTTTTTCGGGAGTTTTGAAAATGGGTAATTTTATAGATTTCGATGTACTCATGCCAAATTTAAACTTTGCCACCTCGTATCTTTGCCGCTCGCGTAGCCATTTTGAAAAAATGGCGCCAAAAAGCAGTTTTTTAACAAAAAGATAAATTTAATAGATTTGGCATACGAGCGTCGCAAAGTGTAGTTCAACACGCTTTTTGGCTAGAAAACTCATTTCCACACCACCTTGAGGTAGAGACAGCGGCGCGATTTTTACCTTACTTGCTGTACTTTAGTGATAAATATTCGATTCATTAAATAATGGAATAAAGGAAAAATCGATTAATCCATAATAATCGACTAATTGGCAATAATCGAAAAGAATCGATTAACCGAAAATAATCGATTAATATAAAATAATCGATTATTCTAAAATAATTAAAAAGAATCAATTAATCGAAAATAACTGATGAATCGAAAATAATCGATTAATCGAAAATAATCGTAAATAATTAATTAATCGAAAATCGCGAAAATAATCGATTAATCGAAAATAATAGATTAATCAAAAAAATCCAAATAATCGATTAAGCGAAAAAGTCGAAAATAATCCATTAACCGAAAATAATAGATTAATCGAAAGAAATCGAAAAAAATCGATTAATAAAAAAAACCGATTAATCGAAAATAATCTATTAATTAAAAAGATCGATTAACCGAAAATAATAGATTAATCGAAAATAATCGAATATTCAATAATAATCGATTAATTAAAAAGAATGGATTAACAGAAAAGAATCGATTAATCAAAAATAAACGATGAATCGAAAAGAACCGATTAATCTAAAAATAATCTTTTAACCTAAAAGAATTGATTAATTGAAAAGAATTGATTTTTTGAAAATAATTGATAAATCTAAAATAATTAATTAATCGAAAATAACTAATTAATCAAAATTAATCGATCTACTGGAAAGAATCGATTATTCGAAGAGTCAAATAATTGAAATGAATCGGTTAATCGAAAAGAATCAATTAATCGAAAATAATCAATTAATCGAAACAGAATCAATTAATCGAAACAGAATCGATTAATAGAAAATAATTTGTAAATCGAATAAAATCAATTAATCGACAAGAATCGAATATTTTTAAGTAATCGATTAATCGAAAATAACTGGTTATTTATTTTCATAACCGCCTGATTCTAAAGATTTTAGCAATCATTTTTAGCAACAAAATTATTTAAATAGGAAGTTTTATTTGAGTAATTGGATTTTTTTATTAATTTATCAGCGTCTAAAATCTACAAAAAAAAAAAATTGTCGAATAAAACTAGTCAAAAGAGCTGAAAATCTATCAAAAAGGCAGAAATCTAATAAATGTGGCAACGTAGGATTAAAAACCCCTAGTTAGAGTGACCTTGACCAAGCACAACCACTATTCGCTGGACCAAGTAAAGTTCAATGCACAAAATTATGCTAAAAATAGCGTCGTTTCAAGCAGACACACGGATCAGTTGAGCCCTTTTTAACTACATTCGTTCGCGGAAACTCCTCGCTTTCAGTCATAATATTGCACCGACAGACGCGATCAGCCAGGCGCAAAAGTAGAGATTAACACGTACGAGAATAATAAATATATTAAAATTAAATTATTTATGTGATTTTTAAATAATGTATTTTTTATGAAATTATTATGGAATTATTTTCCTTCAAAAAATAAAGTGTTTGGCAAATGAATAAATGTTTAATCTGTAATATTGCTAGTAGTATACACCTTGGCTTGAAAGTGTATTTCCAGGTCTCGAAAACCGTATTATCGACCTGTAAATTACAATAATGAAACACTTTCCGCCATAGTGGGTAATTTGTGTAGTTATTCGATTTTTTTTTTTTAATAAAAAAATTTACTTTGCAGTTTATTGGGTGCCATGTTTCCGCTTCCAAGAATCATATATGCAATGGCCAACGACGGCTTACTTTTTAAACCTTTGGGTAAGGTACATTCCCATTTTCATACCCCATTGATGGGTACATTAATAGCAGGAGCTTTAACAGGTAAAAAACGTTGTAAAACATCCTAGTGAGTTATTTAAATATATTAATTTTTAGGTACTCTAGCATGTATTTTAGACCTAAATAAATTAACGGAAATGATGTCTATAGGAACTCTATTAGCTTATTCCATGGTTGCAGCTTGTATTCTAGTTCTAAGGTAGGTAATTAGTACCATTACAGACTCTACTACTAGAGCCTCGCAAAGACAAGTCTGATAACGCTGCTATCGAATCCATTTCATTCACGTTTTAGTTCACTTTTAAAGCGTAAAGTGTTGTTTTACCAGTAATTTTTTTTTTCAAAATATTTCTGTTTTAGAGGAATTAGTTGTTAAAATCGAAAGTTTTTAATTATTCTTTATTATAAACTGTATATTCCTACCGAAATAAAGTTGTTTTTGTTGTTACACATGTAGCTCTCGCGTAATGGCTGCATTGGATATCTTCCCGTTGTGTTTTCAATCCGAATTTTAATCCTTTAAATAAAATAAGTGTTGAAAAGTGTTTGGTGTCTCGTTGTTGAGCCGTTACAAGGCAGATAATAACTTTAATAATTATAATAGTGTTTTATAACAAGAACAGGGTGGAAAAGCGAAAATCAATTTTGTCAATTTCCGAAGGACGATAATTTAAGACAAAAATGGTACAATTCAATCTAGGGCTAACTTCATTCCTTCAAAAAGAGCCGTAGTATAAACATTTTCCGTGTAATTATAGGGAATGATAATTATTTGAAACCCCATGGAAATTTAATAAAAATTCCTGTAAAAGCTAAGCTTAAAGCTTAAATATGTCTAAATATTTGTCAAAACCTGCACCTACTTACAGAAAATCACATACTGAAAGAAAAAGGGAACACATCGAACGTTCTTATAATATCAAGTGATATGATGGAAAAGGCAGATATTATCGAAAGTTTTGAGAATCTAGTGTCGAATTTAAAAAAGTGAATCAATTTTCATAGCGTGTAAACTGAATGCTTTTACTAGCTACCGTGTTGCCTTGATTTGTTTATGGCTAGAATTATAGTCTAGAGAAGAAAGAAGTGTAGTTATTTAATTTGCAGAACGTAGTACAGGTTCAAGAGATAGACATTTTATTTATACCTTATTTGTGAATAAAATGAAAATTTTAATACTACATCTGATCGGCTTAATAAAAGTTTTCGTTTAGATTTAATCATGTTTCTATGGTTTTTATTATAATAAAACTTTTCTTTTGACAGCTAAGTCAGACTTTATTTATTAAAAGCCGTATCGTACATATTTTAATTGATTCGGAATTTTGTATTAGTATATATTATAATTTTACAGTTATATAAGAATGGCGAGTGCATTAAAAAATATTGCAAGGACAAGTACGAGTAAACGACCTAGTGGCCATAAAGCATTACCTTAAGAAGAAAAAATATCTTGCTTAATGTATTTAAATATCTGCGAAAAGACTTTGTTTCACTTTCTGTGTATGAAATAGCCACTAAATGTGAGACCTACACTGGAGTATCTAAGCAGACAATCTATAACATTACAGTTATTGGAGAAGTCTCATATCCGAAAAAGCCCCCAGGAAAAATCAAGACCTTTATTCAAACTTGGGTAAAGAATGTAATAAGGCAAATGGTACATACTTTTTCTTTCGAAATGAAATTCTTACAGTTAAAAGTTACACTCAGAAATAGAAAATAGCTCATCTTTTCCAAATATGTCCTATTTACATCTGCAACAAATATTACAGGAACTAAATTTTCATTACTAAAAACGTGACAGAAACAGAAAAGACAAAATCATTGTGTGGAGACATGATTATTTTTAAGGTATATTATTTAGATACTAGACATACAGTAACAAAAATTTGGCAAGATACCTCCATCAAAACTAAAAAACAAGCCTTTATAGAAGGAGTCTCTTGTGGATTAAAACATCGAACAGGAAAAGGAAATCGTTTAATAATAACCCACAAGTAACATTTTTAGATTTATCAAAGTATACAAGATAACCATAAAACCCTTTTTTAAGACGCTGATAAAACATTTGAATCCACGAGGTAGCCTTAGGGCAGCTACAAATCTGCTTTAAGAGTAAAAGGGAGAATCCTATAACAATTCTTAGGAGTATTTTTAAAACAATATCTTAAAACTAATTAGACCTAAGCCAAAGTCCGTAAGAGTATATTAAAATTTTTATTAAACCATTTTTAAATCTTTTTTAAGATTATGATAATAAGTGGGATAGGCATAAAAACTTTACAAAACTAATCAGTTTTAATAGAATTAAATATTAAACTTTTTTACCTTTATTCTGTTTTATCATACTCTCTGACAGAATAATTTTGCAAACACGTTGGGAAGACTGCCATATTAGAAATTAATTATTATATTTGTTATGTTTGATTTATTTGGTTATACTTCTTATTTCTTCACTTTTCAAACACACGCCAAAGTACTGTTAAAAGTGGGCAAGGTGGGTCGTAATAAATGATGGGCCGTACAATATATAAAATATTTGTAAAAAAAACTGATTACATTTGTCTTCGATATGTTTTTGATATAAAATATCACATTTTGTGTTTCTCAAATTATTTCATGGAAGTGACTATTTAACCGCCAATAAAAATCCTATTGTAGATTTGTCTTTGCAGGGATACTTGTCATTGTCAGAAAACCATTTTCAATTGCGCATACTATCTACTGGACTATCAGAAACAAACTTTGTGTTTAATCATAAATTACATTAGGCGAGACAAGAGTTGTATAACATTATATTATAGCATATTTATATACCCTAAAAGGTAGATATATTTGACAAATTTGACATTATGTGGTTAAACGTAGTAAACGCAATCATAAGTAATAAATCTACTGTCATTGGCACACTATTGTCATAAAGCAAAAAAATACTTTTTAGGTCTTTTCACTTTTAAAAAGCTCCTGCTACACTTTTTAAAGCGTTTCATGAAACAATAGTAAAAACAGAAACATCTATAAAACATTCATAAGTTCAATCACACAGGCATAACCAAACCTCACTCTTGAGCTTCTTATTTACTCTACGAACAAGTCATTCAAAATATAAAAGTTAGTAATAATATATTAATCATTTTTCTATTTCACTAATCATTTCCAGAACATTAGGAGCCTCAGAATGTTTCTTTGGTATTTGTTAAACAATGGCACACAAAGAATTTATTAAACACTGAGGAGAAGGAGAAACATATACTTTTTTTCATTCTCTATGGAAACTACCACTTCTTTATTTTGAGCAATTTATCTTTCAGCGTCAACATAATGTGATTGGGTTGAAAAGCTAGGTTATGCTCTAAAACAAACTTTAGTTCTTATTAAAACTATATAATTTTAAAAGATCCCTATCGTTTACTAGATTAAATAAATTATAAGAGTTATGTTGTAAAATTGTATAAAATGTACCTAAAAGGTTCTGGGTTCAATTTAATTTAAAGTATAATCCTTTTAAAACTAAGTTTTAAAGCCTACTTAAGATAACTGCTAAAAAGTATGCCTCTTTAACACCAAACCTTAGGAGTATCTTCAAACTAAATAGTTTTAAAATTACTTATTAATTAACCTTTATATGACAGCGATAAAGTATAGTTTACTGTAAGATAAACTAGTTTTCTTAAAGGAATCTATAAAACCAAGTAATAAGATAAATTTATGTTGCAGTCCTATTAGCAAAAAAATAACTGTAATAAAATATTAATTTTTATGCCTTTACAAAATTCTAATAAAACATAAATAAAACTTGTTTCTCCTAAAAATGTTACTTGGGAAGACTACCATGAAGAAATGGAAAGACCTATGTTTGAAAATTGGTTTCAGAACATTATAACAAAAATTTCAGCCAACTCCGTTATTGTTTTGGATATTGCTTCATATCACAGTCGATTAAAGGAATCACTACCTACAACAATAAAATAGAAAAAAAAAACAGTTGTTTTAAACTGGCTTCACTCTAAAAATATTAGCAGTCCTCCTATATCCTTAAAAGCAAAATTACTCGTAATAGCAAGGCAACCTAAAAACAAATTCAAAAAATATATTATAGACGAGATAGACCGAGAAAGAGGAATTAAAATTCTGAGATTGCCTCCTTACCATGAAGAGTGGAATCCCATTGAACTGATCTGGTCACAATTAAAAAGGTTATGTTTCTCGAAACAGTACAACATTTAAATTACCTGATAAGCTAAATTTGTTTTTGAAGACAGTTTCAGATGTAACTGGAGAACATTGGAGAAAATGTATTGATCATGTTAAAAAGGTGGAAAATTAATGTTGGACTTAATAAACCCTTTAATAATAAACTTTAGAAAAGACAATGATAATGTTACCAATAGATATATAGTGAAGATTTTGTTTCTTGGTACCGAAGTGTTACTTTAAATGCGAAGCTATTAAAAAGTCCATAATATATAATCCTCCTTTGTTATTCATCGATTAAATGTAATCTACAAAGTGCGTATATACCATTTTATTAGCCGTGACTTTATATTATAGAAACTTATTTTGCAAAGTACGCCTATGGAATGTGACGTTATATCCCCACTTTTACTGCACTACTCTTTTATTTAGACTATACAGTCGGTAATGGTGGTGCCAATTATTTCCTATTGACAAGAATGCAATTAATGTTTTTTTAACTACATACAGCTTTAATTACTGATTTGTTTTTAGATATAATCCAGAAACCAAAGAAAAACATATTCATGCTTCTTGTAGGGAATATTTAACACAAGCCTTTAACAGAAAAAATCAGGAACCTACAAATGTAACTGCTACAATAGTGACGTGGGAAATCATAGCATATTGTAAGTGTATTATAAATATTTTTGATTTTTCTAAATTTTTTTTTCAGTTTTAGTGTGTTTCATTACTTCTGGAATAATGACGACATTCGAAGATGATCTTTTTGCAGGAACCACTTGGATTGCCATAGTTTGTTCAATGTTGATTTTAATTTCGGCATTCCTATTAATATTGGTCAGTTTTCAGCCTACTACCAAACTCAGCAAAGGATTTTCAGTAAGTCTACTAAAAATTATCTGTCAATTCTCTAATTTATTCCTTGATGAAAACTGGGCGATTCCAAGGATAACGTGGTATTTTTCACTAATTTAAGGGAACTTTAGATGAAAAACGTGATAAACAGGGAACTTTTCCTCTTTATATGAAAAACTAATTTTTTTGACAATAGAGTTTCTTGTTAAATTAGTATAACAAAAAATCTGATTTGTCATGACGTTCCCGTGTTATTACAGGCTTTTTCCGGTTATTTTGTGTAACCTATTGTAGGTATCACTTCTGTAACTGTTTAGATGATGAAATAAATACGTACATTTTCCACGCACATGTTACTCAAAACATTTTTCTATATTATCAGTGCCAATAAAAATATTGAAAAATTAAAATTTTACCTTCTCTAAAATTTTTCCATTTCTGTTTATTTTAGAGAAATCACCTACAAAACAGAAATTATAGAGAATTAAATCGCAAACAACTTTATTTGCAAAATTTTCTTAAAAATTTGAATTTTTCATATTTTGTAAAATTTGGTTAAGATGTGGTGATGACATCTGCACGATTTTGAAGTCAGTCTTTTAAAATTACTTTTATTACTTGTCCTTATCAATAGCTGTCCTCTTTCGTCCATATTTGGGATTGTTTTTCACACTTTCTATTTCACTGAACTGTAGATTTAGGAAAAGCGGAAAATCTTGTCAGGAAATATTTTATTTAACAAATCAGTAGCTCCTTGCAGAGATTTATTTCTATCTCCAAACCAAACATACAAAGGAACACCCTTTCCCCTCCTCTGTCAGTTCGCCTTTGATTTCATCTTGAAGGCATCAGAGTTTAGGATACCTTTTTCATACCTTTAATAAAAACGTTTTCTACTTAATGGCTGCATTCAGATCCTACATGACCTTATTGTATTTTGTCAAATATTTATATCAATTTGTAGTTTTATTTCAATTATTAGACCCCATTTAGTATGGAATAAACCCATAGATGCACATGCAATCAAATTGGGCTAGTAGCTTGCATGCCAGCAGCTTGCATGTGCCAGTAGCTTGCAGACTGAGAATTCATTTTCAAGTAAAATTGCATGTCAGTAGCTTGTATGTGCCAGTAGCTTGAAGATGGTGGATACATTTCGAATAGATCATTATCACGTTTGCACGCTATCCAGCATTTTAAGTGCTTTTAGTTTTTGGATATTTATAAATAGCAAATCACATGGAAAAGATTCGAAGTGGAATAAATAGTATATTGCAATAGAATGCGTACGTCAAATAATATAACCTAAATGGAACAGACGAAGAAGAAGAAGAAGAAGATATGTGGGTATAGAAACCATTTAAAAATGCTTTCTGGGAAAAATTTGATGACTTGTTGGCAAAAATTGAGGGACAAATTACAAAACAAGATACCCATATGCGAATTCTACAAACATTTGTACTCTATATACAAACGAATAAACTTAATCGTATTTTCATCTCCCCACCGAAACATGAGATAAGATAACAAAACGAAAACAGAAAAAACCACCCTTTACGACGATCCAAACTTGCATGCGATTACTGGCATGATAGTACCTGCATGCGATTACTGGCATGATAGTACCTGTTTGGTTTACACATTCAATTTGGCATGCATTTGTAATTCCCCCACCACCCAACTTGCACATTGCATGCTAAAAATTCAAATCCGATTCAATCTACTTGTATACAAGCTACTTGCATGCAAGTTAACATATATACACATGCATGAAGCTTGCACATTCAAGTGGCTAGCTTACAAGTGTGCAAGCGTTGTTTATCTCCGACATAACTTACATACCTGTTTCTGAAGGTAGATCCAGAAATTTACGTTTAAATTTTTATTTTTTATTTTCCTTGAGCTATTTATTAACTATTTTCTCATAATAGGTACTAATATACCATTGTTATTTTTCCTGATAATGGCCTTCGAGCCGAAAACTTTTACATTTGAACCATTAAAAAACATTTTGTGGTAACTATACTGAATATAGAATATTTTTATTTTCGTCTATATTTTGATTGTCTTTTTTTAAACCCTTCGGACCTCCCGTGCTATCCACCCTAATTCGTTGGTAAAACGGCGGCACTGCCGCCTGCAGCTTTTTATACGACCATTTGAAGGTCCTACTACTTTCGCATATACCAATTCACTCACTCATTTATCGTCATGTATTGCACGTCGTCGATGGTTAAACGCTAGTTAGTTAAGTCCGATGGTGGCAAGGCCTATGGTGGAACAACCCAGCCAGTCATTCATCCATGACGTGACCGGAGATATTATTGCTTATTGAACGTCAAAGCTCACAAAAATCGATTTTTCGCGATTATTTAGGTTTCTATAGCTCCAATGATGTTAAAATATATAAAAATTATAGAGCATAAAATTTGCGAAAATGTTTGATGCAAAACACTTTTTTGTGCGCTCAACCATTTTTGCGATAGAGGGCAAAGAGCGCGCAGTGCTCAGCCCTCTACATACTATAATGCAAGGTCAACTGTCAATCTCGATGGATAATAATACACTGTATAAAGTTATTAAATAAATAAAATATTAACAATGAATAAGTTGTAATAATTATTAGATAATACATTGTATTTAATAACATTTTACATTCATTTATATACATACTTACCTACTTTGTGTAATAAAAAGCTCTTTAAATGAAATACTTTTTGGATATCCTTATTTGAATTTATTAAAAGTAGACTTTAAGAAGAAAAATTCTTGTGCATCGCATCGTATGGAGTAAAGACGATACTTTTTCCATTTTTTTATATAAATACGTTGTAGTTTTGAACATTGAAACGGAATGACTTTCGGAGAGAGAGAAAACGTAGAGTGAGGGTCGCTCTGACTTGAAAATTACTCAAGCTTTGTTTTTAAGCAACTAAAACTGTGATACACTTGAATCAACTGTGAATCAAACCTCAGAAAAAGAACTGGCGGTTTTCCAATCAAACAAAAAAATACTTGTGGCACTCGGGGACTGCCGCGGTAAAGCTATTGCATAGCATTTTTTATCAACTTATGCAATTATAATTATTTACTTATTTTATTTATGCAGTATATTTTTTCTTTGATATTAATTCAAGTTTTTTCTTTGATATTAATTCAAGTTTTTTCTTTGATATTAATTCAAGTTACACTTTTTGAGCGTGGTGACCGATAAGAAAACATTTTTTTTTCTTTTATTGAATAAATGAGAAGTTAATATTGTTTAAAATATTTTTATTATCTTACAATACATGTAGGTTATTCAGGAATTTTTATCATTGAAACTATAGGTTTATGGTAACTGAAATAAGAAACATAAGTTTGAAACTTGATATCCTCTAAATATCTGAAAAATATCGCGTCATTAGTGGTCTCATATTTTGTTGTGGATTCTTGTGGATCATTATTCATTTTCAAATTCAATTTTTCCGAAATTGTGTCTAAAAGAGATAGAATCAGTTAGCAGCTAGTCTACACGCATACGTCTAGTCGCACGCACACAAACACCGTGCCGAAGTCTGCCGAACTGAAACGACGTTAGACGATGCACGGCTTTCAACGTCTCACCGCTGTGCCGGTCGGAGTGGGGGGTGTTAGGTTTATTTTCGTTACGGAATTTCTGTTTTGATTTTTTGATTTTTCAATTTATCGATTTTTTGATTTTTTTGATTTTTCGATTTTCTTTTATTACGGTCGTTACGGAATTTCTTGATTCGGTCGCCGCGCTCAAAGCCCGCGATAAAAGCTATGCAATAGCTTAAAAATAAAGGAAATTAAACTAGATCCTGCACTCCAGTTTTGAATCGGGTGTCTTTTTAAGGAAATTGGGTGAACAGTGGAACTGTGTTGAACCACTTGTCAACCCAATCTCAAAAAAAGAAAATTACCAGCGGTTTCCCAAAAGAAATAATTTGAAAATGAACTAACGCTCTCCGGCTATTAACAACGTGTTTAACGGATACCCAAACCAACTGGTAAAACGATTATAAAATATAAGCTCCTACCTTGAGTTTTGGGGTGGTTGGCACTACGGAAAACTAAAATCGGGTAATTCAGAAGACAGAATTCAAAATAAAAGTATATTTATTCCCTTTATTAAAATAACAATATAAAATATATTTAAAATAAATTTGTTTTCTTCACGGCCCGCGGGCCAACAACTACGACCTTTCGTTGAGTTTTGAACAGCTGGGCTCTCGACGAGATGGATTGCTGTAAAGTGGGTATCTATCTGCTACAAAGCGACGGTGTATCGCACGTCCTATTAGGCAGTTTAGTCTTGATCTTGCTTGTTTCGTCTTCTTTACAACCATGTCCACGTGCTTGGTTAAGGTGAGTTTTTGGTCCATATTAACTCCTAGGTACCTGGCTGAGTCGGTCCATGGGATGTCTTCTCCGCGTTGATCTTCCATCTTATGCACCATTCTTCTATGTCTTCCGCTGCGGTGTAGATATCTCGATATTAGTCCTGGCTGTGTGCTTGTTGCCGATATTGCTGTGTCGTCCGCGTAGAGGGACATGGGAGTATGTTGGGTTTTGGGGATGTCCGCTGTGTATATGGAATACAGCAGTGGTGACAGTACCGTTCCTTGAGGTACTCCCGCTTCCGGAATTCCTGGTCTAGATAGAACTTGTCCCATCTTGACCCGAAACTGCCTTCCGCCGAGGTACGACCTGAACAATCTTGTCATGCCTGCTGTGTACCCTTGGTCTTTCAACTTAAAAATCAATCCAGCGTGCCATACTCTGTCAAATGCCTTGACGACATCCAAGAATATGGTTCCTGTGGCTGATGTTCTGGTCGATTGCTTTTCCTTTTATACATCTCGGCGGTGGCAAGGGATACCCTCTCTCTCGCTTATTGAAGTAGAAGGGAACGCACGAATCGTTGGTTGGGTAACCGCTTCGAGATATATTTGGGAAACCAGTGGCGTAGCATTAGTAACGGCAATTTATCATCGTTACAGCTGAGAACGACGGTAATAGCAGGAAAAGAGAGAGAATTTTTGTTTCGACTTTCCTATTTATGTCCCACCAGCAGACGAGTTCGATTTCCGCGCAATTGCGGAGTGAGATAAACCACCTCCAATATTTACTAGCGATGAAATAAAAAACATCCATTTGACACCTTGCCGAATAAACCTAGATAATTTACATAATATTAAATCTTCAAATCCGAATTTGAATTTCGATAAATATGGAAATATTTTAAACTAGGAGGGAGGGCTCTAGCAATTGCTTAAAAACAGGAATTCCTAGGAAACAAAAATACGGGGCTCTTCGAAACGATTCCAGGCGGAAATTAATTAAAATATACATTTTTACAATTAATTAAAAATATAATTTAGTGACTTCGTCATAATCTCTGAGATTATTCATTGGGTAAGACACTTCACACAGCGTCTGAATAACGAATTATGTGGTAACTACATGTTTTTTACTCTTTTAGGTTAACTGAACTTTGATGGGATGTCGACTCCACGACATCCTTTCTATTGAACGGCTGCCTCAAAAGTGAGACGAGAGTTTTCTAGTCGATTCTTGTGTGAATGGGCGTCGCATACCAGAGTCTAAAATATTCTGATGAATTATTTTATCATACGAGATAGCGTGTATGCTGGTGCATACGTGACCTTTGGCAAGCGTCGAGAGGGCAATATATTTAACTTGTATTATATTTAGGGCTGTGGGAAGCGGTGTGAAATCGCTATTTGCAGGATGGGTAATATTATGCACTTCTTGAATGCATGGGTAGAGCAAAAATATATATTTGAAGGATAAATAATACGATTTTTTTAGAAATAAAATATTAATGAGTGACAAAAAATTTGTAATTGATTTATTCTATTTAATATAACGAAAGTGGCTACATCCACGAAAAATAGCCTACTACAATTTTAATTCCTGTATTTAAAAAAATGGCTGTTTTTTTACTAAAAATATATTTTTCCCACTTTAACATCCTGGAAGATCAAAAATAAGTGATCTTAAAAAATATTATTTTTGTCATCTGAATGTACAGTTACAATTTGCAAAATTACTTATGATTCACCCTGTATAAGATAAAAAAATTTTTTAGGTTCCACTTATACCATGGATACCTGGTATTAGTATTTTCACGAATATATACCTTATGGCACACATACAGAAAGATACATGGATAAAATACGGATACTGGATGATTATTGGTAAGATTTTTTTAATGTACAAATTACAGAAATAAAGGACCCGAAACAAACTTTTTAATATTTTTACCTAAAAAATGGCATTTCACATCATTTTTATTTTAGGTTTACTAATATATTTCGCGTATGGCCTTTGGCACAGTATGGAACGAGACGCAGACGAAGAACAATCGAGAGCAATTAACCGACGCCGTGTAGATAGCTCATAACAATATTAGTCTACCAATTATAAAAAGAACATGCAGTATTTTAATGTATTACAATAATTATTTATAATTTTTATATTGAAAAAGGCTGTTTTCATAAAATGAACTTATTGATAAATAAATAAATTATTAAATAAACACAATTTATATATAAAGAGTAATTCACAAAAAATGTTTCTAAAGCAGGCCATGACTGACAAAGGCAGAGATACGAAACATCTCCGTGATAAGTACGCACTCCTTTGAAATAAATCAAAACTGCCATTTAAAAAAGAACAAGACATATGTGATTATTTCCATGGCGTACTTTAGAAACAGTTATAGTGGATCACAATCTAATTTTTTAATTAATATCACCATTATTCCTTCGCACACACCCACCCTTACTAAGGGTACAAATTATCACTTCTCATTTACGTGATTAATCAATATGAAGACTCGAGTTGGCTATTACGCATGGCCCCAGTGACACACAGGCGAGCTACTTAATGCCGGTGAGTAGGCATGAGTTTTATCACCCTTTTGTATTGCCATATGGTCACGTTGGCTTAGACTCCAGTTTTTCCCACATATATACAGCTTACGAGAGCTATTGTAGCTTTGTATGCGAGTTTTTGAGATTTGATTCCACGTCAGCCTTTGGCCGAATATGACTCCGAGGCTAAGCTCATCTATTTACCTTTAAACCCGGTCATATTATGCGCGTAGCTAATTCGTAAAAATACCGACATGCGTTGTCCGGTGCGCTTTTGCCAGCCTGTGTAGTTTATCCCTTTTATATTTAAAAATAGTTATTACCTATAACTCACTAATACCAACAAGTTTTATTAATTAGAATAGTTTCGAGATATATTACGACACATCAAGCGTCCCCACCAATTTATTTTCATACCTATTTCCCACACCGACGCATTGTGGGCAAAATTGTTGCAATATTTCCCGAAACATTTCTAATACCTAGTAAGTCTCTAAATAAAATGACTTGTAACAAAACAAAACGTATAAAATGCATACAAAGTACATTAAGCTATTTTAACTGATTTCATTAGACTTGAGAGTTTAGCAGAACCCATTTTTAGACCATCATGTAGGGCATTTTTGTACCTATCGTTTTTACATACATACGCCTGCTAAATAATAACTTTGCAAATACTAAGTTAAACTATGGCAAATACCATTACTAGGCCTGCAAATAAATGCATGGATTTTAAAAGCGTTAAACGTGACAATACCGTAATTGAAAATAACCTTGTTTCATTCATACTATGCGTCACGTATAGGCGTTTTCTAATATTCATCGTTCGTTCTTTTATCCATTAAAAATTTTTAGATGAATCATCCATGTTCTTAAATTCAACCTAATTCTCAGATGGTTGTCATCAAATCCATCGACTCGATTGTGTTGATGCACTGATGGATCACGTGACATAACCTTAAACGATTAATTAATATGAATGAAACAACCTATAAGTGGGCTAACTTTTAAAATAAGACTATTAGCGGTAGATATACAGCAAGCAAATGAAGACAAGTACATATTTTTTTAATTATTGTATTGCCTGTACTTGTCTTAACTTTTCATGCTTCGAATTGTTTGTTTTCATTAATTAAAGACCGTTTGACAGTTAAGATTATAAAATCACAAATTTCAGTCCTTCTCAAATAATTTTAGTCAGATAAACATCATGATTGCAGCAGTGGACCATTTATTGGTCACGTGATCCATCATCAGTACATCATATTGTTGAATATTAGAAAACGCCTGATTGCACCAGTCGGCAATTTATTGGTCACGTGATCTATCAGCGGTCCATCATTTTGTTGAATAATACAAAACGCCTTATTTTATCTATCGATAGTTTGCGATGTTGCCATCCAGTAAATTGTTCGATATCGGGTGTTTTTGTTGATTTTTATACTTTTTTGGAAATATTTCGGCTTACAGTTTTAGTGTATAGCTAACAACATGGTTTGCGAGTTTTAAATATACACATCCGATGCATTTTTTGCCCTACTACATTTACGTATTGTTACGAGGCACCCGGTAACGTGCTGCGATCGTCATAAGTAAAGTTACGAGTAAATGACGAAGATAGATTAGTCCAGAAATGTCTCAAAATGTCATCCCTTGTCAAAGAAAAGTCCAGATTGTTCGAGAAGGTTCTAGAAGGTCGAGGCAAACTATATAAGTCGACAACCTGACGTCAGAATTCAGTTTTATGATAGATGTTAAACGTTAATGTTATCAGTTGGAGTTATTGTATCAGTTAAATTGAGATATTGTAAAAGTTGAGTTAAAATAAATTGTGATACCAAAAACCAGCGTAACAGTATATTTTAAATCACGTGATTTACAACATCTCAGATGCATCCAATGTGGATATTCAAACGCAGCATAAATCTCGGAACACACTAGTTCGCTCCGGCGGTCAGATTTTAATCTCCGACCCGAAAAGGTCATAGGTAAGTTCGCTCCGGCACTAAATTTATGAGGGATGATTTATTTCCAGGAAGGACACTCACTTAAAAGTGTTTATTGGATTTAAATTTCCATTGCTATATGTATCTTAGATTGGCTGTAAATCTTTTATAAAAACTGGAGGTTCAAACACTACCATCATTGACTATTATGAGGTTCATAATCACTCAGCCGAATTAACATCAACGTTAAATCGCCAACAATTAAGTAACTCGATAAAAAGACGGGTAGTTGAAGACATATGTGAAAAACCATCAACATTATTGCATACGGAATTAAAAAAGCAGGATGTCGAATCGTTAACCGTTAATGATGTGTTTTTGATTCGAAAAAATATGTATAACAACAGAATGAAGGTGCTCCCAAAAACACCAACTTCTCTGCAAGAAGTGCAGGAAACCTTAAATAAAATGATGGTGGTGACACATAAAAACGAAAACTTTTTAGTTAAAAATGATTTTGACACTAATATAGTCATTTTTGCATGTGAAACAAATTTCAAGTTTTTGTGTAAATCAACAAGTGTGTACGTTGACGGAATATTTAAATGTTGCACGAAATTTTTTTACCAACTTTTTACCATCCACGGACTCTGTTCAGATTTGAACATTTTTCTTTATATTCACCTAGTAAATTAACATCCTGTATAAGAAATTCATTATTTATTGAATTAAAATGTTTAATTTCATATGCAATTAATAATAAACACGTTCCAATTTCAGCTCAAGTATAATGTTTAAATCGTAATAAAAAATGCTGACTTATTTTCAAAACACTGAATTGAAGACATTTAAATTGAAATAATAATTTTTTTTTAATACACATTTAAATAATTAAATATTAATTGTTATTGCATATTGTTTATTCTGTGATATTATAAAATGTAGATACAAATAAGAAATAACCAGACTGACTAAGAACATGTGGTAGTTTACTTTATAAAATTATCTCTGAAAAGGGATTCATGAAAACCATCTTGTAGTATTAATTATAAAATTCATCTTTGAAATCTATTCAGACTCGAAAATGAACATTATGTACCATTGGTTTTTATTCTTTTGCCAAATAAGGAGGAGAAATCGTACAAAAGTGCCCTTCAGTTTGTAAAAGAAGAGTGCTCTGAACTAAATTTAATATTTAACCCGTCGGTAGTTTACGCAGATTTTGAAAAAGCAATTCATAATGCAGTCCATAAGATTTTACCAGCTTCTACAATAATTAAAGGATGTCGATTTCATTTAGGACAATCTTGGTAAGTTTATAAACAATAAAATATTTATACAACACGCCTTATGATTATTTTCGATTAGGTGTTTCATAAGATGTTAAGTGTTAAATCAAATTCTGCGATAATTTGAGAATTTTAAATAACAGTTTAATAATTGTTGTAAAAGAGAACATAATAAAACAAATATTATAAATTTGTAAAAAAAGTAAAACATCGTAGAAGTGGATTTTATTATTTAAGCTCACCTAATATTTTTATTTTAATTTCTTTAAATAAAATAAATGTCAAGTACGTGGAAAAACCGGAAGAGAAGCAGATACTTTCGAAAAAAAAAAGCAAACTCTGACAGTATTTTGAGTATCACAGTTACTATTTAACATTATACATTACATATACCTAAATTATATTTTAATAGGGTCTTAGGCAATATCTAAAAAATAAATAGGTACATAATATTATCCATAAAACTAGTTTCAGAAACAAGCCTATTTCATAGGTATATTGATAGTTCCATCTCGTAATAAAAACCGATTTTAAAAAAACAGTGTGAGCTTTCCAGACAGAGGCGTTACCGGTGGCCCACCCCGTTTGTTAACAATTTATGATACACAATTTTAAAACACTATTGATTTAAAGATTAGCACCTCACTTAGAATCAATATTATTTTTTTCAGGTGGCGAAAAATACCGAGTCTTGGATTGGCCTCAGAGTATTCCAAAAATTCTGATATTGGGAATTACTTAACACATATTTTTGGGCTACCATTTTTGAACCCAGAAATGGTTGGGGGTGGGTTGGGGATTGTTTCGCTATTGATTTAGCTGCAATAATGCCAAACACAGAACCTATAGTTAAATTTTCGGATTATCTGGTAGATAATTACATTGCTAACGATGCATTATTTCCTCCTTCCATGTGGGCTGAACACAGTTCCTCAATTCAGCGAACCACCAACGCCTGTGAAAGTTTTCATGCAAAATTTAATGCTCTGTTTTATTCTCCACATCCAAATATTTTTCAGTTTTTAGAGATTTTAAAAAATATTCAAATAGATACTTACATAAAGATTAAAAGTTTAAGTTTACCAAAAAAAGTGTATCGGAGAGAAGCACGTTTGAAGAAAGAATTTGCAGAGAAAAAAAAATTCTCTGTTAAATCAAAATGACAATGCCTATACTATATTTGATTTTGTTAAAATTATGTCTCGTAGGTATAAGAGGATAGAAAAATAGTATTTAAATAATAGTATTTTTAGGAACACTTAAATATTCGTAGGTACCCGATATATTGCATTATAATTATATTATTTTAATATGTATATATTTTAGTTTTGGTAAATAAATAATAGCTTTTTTAAATAAAACAATCTTTTTTATTTTTTAATGTTCCAACACAAGAACCTACCTGGGGGCTAATCGACCCCTTTGTAATCT